CCTTGTTTTCTGTTATTCTTCTGAATTTGGTTCATGGGTCATTCCAGACCTGTTTAAAAAGGTGCTGCAAAAGCTAGGTATTTAAAGATTTACCTATTTAAAGATGTTGATTGCCCTATACTATATTGCCTTGGAAGTGCAAGTGTAACTGTTTTGTCTGAGCACAACTGACCATGGTGAGTTCACTTACCTGCAAACTTGTGAATACCCCCCCAGCACAGAACTGAAAATACAAACATAATCCTGGGGGAACAGAATTTGGTGAGTCCAGATAGACATATAAAATTCATTTTTGCAGCCTAGAACAGTGGTCTCCAAACTGTGGCCCACAGGCCAGATGCAGACCTTTGCTAGCACTTATTATTATTATTATTATACAGGATTTATATAGCACCAACAGTTTGTGCAGCGCTTTACAATATAAGGGAGACAGTACAATTACAATACATTTCAGTACAGAGGGAATAGGAGGGCCCTGCTCATAGAGCTTACAATCTAAAGGAAGGGGGAGGTGATACAAAAGGTGATAGCTGCGGGGGATGATCTGGCGGTGGTGATTCAAGTACAGTTCTTAGGTGGAGGTGGGGTAGGCTTCCCTGAAGGAGTGAGTTTTCAAAGATCACCTAAAGGCAGACAGGGTGGGGGCTGACCGGACATGCTCTGGTAGGGAGTTCCAGAGGATGGGAGCGGCTCTGGAGAAGCCCTGGAGGCGAGCGTGGGAGGAGGTGATGAGGGAGCTAGAGAGGAGGATGTCATGGGAGGAGCGGAGTGGGCGATTTGGGCGGTATCTGTGGATGAGGTTGGTGATGTAGCTAGGGGCAGTGTTTTGGATGGCTTTGTAAGCTGTGGTTAGTATTTTGAATTTTATACTTTGGGTTAGTGGAAGCCAGTGGAGGGATTGGCAGAGAGGGGCATCAGTCGTTGATCAGTTGGTAAGGTGTATGAGTCTAGCAGTAGCATTCATAATAGACTGAAGGGGGATAGTCTGTGTAACGGTAGACCAGTGAGGAGAGAGTTGCAGTAATCGAGGCGGGGATATAAGCAAGGCGTGGATAAGTTGTTTTGTGGTGTCATTGGTCAGGAAGGGGTGGATTTTGGAAATGTTCAGGTTGAGGCGGCAGGATTTAGCCAGTGAGTGGATGTGGGGTCCAAAGGAGAGGTCAGAATCTAGGATTACACCTAGCACCCTGGCATGAGGAGAAGAACCAATGGTTGTGCTGTTGATCTTAATGGTAAAGTCATGAGTGGGGGATCGGGGAGGGGGAAATATTACAAGCTCGGTTTTGGAAAGATTGAGTTTAAGGTAGTGATGTGACATCCATGCTGATATGTCGCTTAGTAGATTTGTGATGCGTGAGGAGATTGAGGGGGTGAGCTGGGGAATGGAGAGATAGATCACTTATCCAACCCTTGGGGCATTGTTCCTTCCACTGATATGAGGTACCATTCTTCCCACTGATATGAAACACTATTCTTTTGACTGACACCACTGATAAGGCACCAGTCCTTCCTCTAATACCAACAGTGGGGCACTATTGCTCACATAGACACCAACGGTGAGGTACTATTTCTTCCACTGACACCAACAATGGAGCATAATTCCTCCCACTGATATAGATGATAATGCACTATTCCTTCCACTTACAAAAAAAAGGGCAATAATCATCCCAATAATACCAATGGTGAGATGCTATTCCTCCTCCTACTGACCACAGGCACAATGTAATTATTTTACTCCCACTACTCACCATGGCTAATGCTGGGTACACACAGAAAGTTTTTCTTCATTCAACCGAGAGGGCTGAATGAAAAAAAAACTTACAGATCTCTGTACTAACACATCCAATGTTAGCGCGGCGATCTCGCCACTGAGCTATTGTGTACTGACAGGGGGACTGCCCCCCGCCAAGACACACTGATCAGCGCACACAGCCATTGGCTGCCAGCACTAATCAGATGCTAATAGGATGTTGATTTTCCAGCATGCCCGTTCGACAGAAGCCAGTCGTGAGATCAACTTCTGTCAGATGAGGAGCTGTACACAGAGGCCAAAAACTGGATGACTCCTGACAAACTGACCGTTTTCAGACGATTTTCAGCCCATATGTACCCAGCTTAACCACTTGCCGTCCGCCTGCTGTTTATAAACGGCAGGGCGGTGGCACTCCAGGGGCGGGTTGCCGTTCATAAACGGCACCCGCCTTTTCTAGCTGTGCGTTCTCCCTGGGAGCACGCAGCACCGCGATCCGGTGCCCGCTGTGTCCTCCGGACACAGTGAAACACCGATCGTCGGATGGGACCTCGGTCCCGATCATGTGATCACTGATTGGCCAATCAGTGGTCACATGGAAAGTAGTAAGCAAGATATCACTTGTGACATCATTGCTTACTACGTGTGAAATCTGTGAATGATCACAGAAGTCACATGGTACAAGGCTATTCACAACAGCCTTGTACCATGTGACAAGGTGTGACCAATCACAGCTCACTCAGTATTTCTCAATGGCTGCAAGAATGCAGACAGAGAGAAAGAGAAATTATTGCTTTTACATCCCCCCACAAGTAGTACTGTGTCACCATGGTAACACTGTACTGCTAGGGTGACAGTATGTAAAAAAACCCTATAAATAATAATTAAAAAAAAAAAAATGTAAAAAAAAGTTTAAAAATTATAATTTTTGGTTATAAACTAATTTGGCTTATTTTTTTTTTTTGCTAAAAATATAATGGAATACATTTTGGTCAAGATTTATGAGGAAAGATTATTTATTTGCAAAATTTTATAAGAAAAACACTTTTTTTCAAAATTTTTGGACTTTTTCAGTTACATAGCAAAAAAAATAAAAAATCCCAGCGGTGAATAAATACCACCAAAATAAAGCATTATCTGTCTCAAAAAATGGTAAAAAAAATTCATATTGGTACAGTATTGCATGATTGCGCAATTGTCATTCAAAGTGTGATAGCGCTGAAAGCTGAAAATTGCCCTGGACAGGAAGGGGGTAAAAGTGTCCGGATTGGAAGTGGTTAGGACATTGTCTATTTCTGTAGATGCTGGGGCAGGTTCTACTCTCACTGGGCACAGTCCAGCCCTTCTAAAGTCTGAAGGACTGTAAACTGGCCTTTTGTTTAGAAAGTTTGGAGACCCCTGTCCTAGAAGATGAATCTAACACAGATTTGCAGAAAAAAAGGAATATTTGCATCCAAGAAGATGAGTCTAACAACACAGGAGCACATAAACTTTACATTTGCTCTATGGGGTTTTTTTGGAACTCCAAACTTAGTAAGTGATGGAAGATCAAAAACTTTTAATATCTTGTTTAGGATTTATAAATGCAGGAGTGTTAAAACAACAATACACAATAAATACTAGATTTTTTTCTTTTTACAATATGTCTTTCAAGGTCACCAGATTTCTTGTAGGTGATCTGTCTTAGAACAGTCATTGAGCACCATTAATAAGAAATTCTTTATGTCTTTGTGTCTTCATGACAAACACCTTAATTGCCCCTTATATAAACAGAGCTATCATTGGGGAGTCAGAAATCCTGGCCATAACCCGTAAAATATTCTAGAGTGGCAGGGAGATGGTAGACATAGTATGATTGTCATGTCCACGGAAATGCATTAATAACTGTTGCAGTACATTCTTTTAGGCTTGTACAAGCAACTGCACTGAGGTACATGGTAAGGTGTTCTGTAGTCTTGTCTTGAAATATAAAAATAAAGCAGCCATCATACACAAGAACGTGTAAGCTGCAATATATTACATTTTTGGCTTTGGGTCTAAAAACTCTTTAAGTGAACTTTCAGGGATGCCAAAAGAAAAAAACAGTGTTCCTATGCACCACCAGAGAGAACAATGATATGTCAGCCTCTAACTTTCTCTCTGGCTTCAAAAGCATACTGTCATTTGTGACTTCTTTTTTAAAGTGGTTATTAACTCTTACATAGACCCAGTGAAGTGACTGGCCTCAGGTGATGCACAGATGAAACAAATCCTCCTACATAAGTTGTGCTTGCTTAACTGCAGTCTTCACTTCTCTACAGATATTCAAAGTTCAGAATTTATACAGCTTGTCTGAGATGTCAGAAGACAGGGATGGGGAGCTGAAAGCTACACACTGTAGAGCCCAGTGAAAAGAGCTCTGAATGCTGATTGGAGGAAAGGGCCCCCCCCTTCACACAGCACACAGGAATAGAGCTGAGGCTGTCCATCACAGGCAGGGCCGTGGACAAGGAGGGTGATCGGCATACCTGCATAGAGAGCCATACAGGGAATCAGTTCCAGTAATTGCCCCCTGGTGCACCCATCACCTGTGCACCATACACTTCCCCCGGCCTTGTGTGTCCCCACTCCCACAGAGTGATCAGTACTGTGGTAATTCATAGCTGAAACATAGTAAGCTGTGTTTTTTTTTTTTTGGGGTGAGGGGAGCTCAGGTTGGCTGTATGGAGCTCTGTGGTTTCTAACAGCATCTCTGATCACAGGTTGTGTGCTGCAGCTCCCTCCTCTTTCACATTTATACCTCTTGGTGTCAGAAGTGATTTATGCGGATAGCAGATGAATGAAGCAGCAGACAGAAATGAAATTAGTGCTCCTCATTGAGACAAGTACACACTGTAGATGATGCTTTGTTCATATTTCATGTCTGTGGTTTACAACCACTTTGATAATGCCAGTTACCTGACTGCCAAATTCTGATCTGCATGTTTCTACTTGGTCAATGTCTTAAAAAGTATTGACCCAATTAGAACAGCATGAGAGCCAGGTCACTAGCTCATTTTCTTCACTGTTTAGTATTTGAATTATTTTATATTCTTCTTTGTAATGAACTTGTATATACTGTGTATTTCTCTATGAATAAAACACATTTGACAGCTAAAGGTACTCATACAAAAAGCAAATACATTTTGTCATGGGGGTCATATGGTGTTTTTTTTTAAGCAAATGTTAATTTTATCCTTCTCTGTTTATTGAAAATATCTTTTGTATTTCAGCTTGCAATGCCATCATTTCCTGTTGTGGTGAAGATTGGACATGCTCATTCTGGAATGGGAAAGGTATATTGTAATCACCATTAGTATTCTTCTACTGTAACATTGAAATATAAAGATTTGAAAAGCCATCAAGACTGTCCATGGCTTGTATTATTTATTGAAATGTTATTAATAATACATCTTATCTAATAGATATTTCAGGCTGAGTATACACAAGAGCTGGATGTAACCAACATCAATTACCAATGCTGAGTCTGCCATACTTCCAAATTTGATGCTAGCATGGGATCCGTGGATCCTAAAAAGTTGAACAGGGAATGGGGATTATAATGCCTACCGATGCGACGATCTACATTGATTTCTGCAATTTAATGCAGTACAAATACTTTATTAAGTGCTTGTCTTGCATTACCCATGCAGCCTAATGCAAAGATTCTATATCAAGATTCTTGGGATATTTTGAACTTATCAAGAAGGCAATAGAAGGCTTATCAGGAAGACATTAACAATTGTCACCAGAACAGTAAGTGAAGAGAAGCCCCATTCCTGACAAATGTCGCTATAACAGCCGATGAGGAGAAATCTCCCTATGGGATCACCTATCTCAATGACAACTGTCAGAGCTTGCAGGAGACTGGGGAGACTTCCTCTACTTTCTTTTCCATATCCCTTTGAAAATTGAAAACAAACATCCACAAAAAGGGACATACTGGCCCAGGGGTTGTTAATTTTTTGCAGTCCAATATGCATTGGATGGACCTTAATTTTCTGTGCTTTGATCTCTTCATGTACCACTCTATTGAACTGTGAAATCCCTCAGCATTCATTCAAGTAATTTTAAAGCATCTGAGTACATAGAGTTTCTGATATTTTTGGTTAGGGGAACTTTAATCGCCATATTTTATTTGCTACAGAGATTTAATTTCCTTATTCTTTTATTGAGTATGTATAGTTTATTGTACAAAATGATCTGTATGTTGCTTGAAGCTGAACCTGTAAGCTTTGGAGGATAACCTGCATATGGCTACAGTGACCATTATTTCCTCTATCTGCTTGTGCATAAACTACTTTGTGAAAAAGTACACTCACTGGCCCCTTTATTAGGTACACCTTGCTAGTACCGGGTTGGACCCCCTTTTGCTTTCAGAACTGCCTCAATTCTTCATGGCATAAATTCAACAAGGTGTTGGGACACATTCCTCAGAGGTTTTGGTCAATATTGATATGTTACTGTTGCCTTTCTATCATCTCGAACCAGTCTGCCCATTCTCCTCTGACCTCTGAAACAAGTCAGCAAGTCCACACAACTGGATATTTTTCTTTTTTTTTTCTACCATTGTCTGTAAACCCTAGAGATGGTTGTGCGTAAAAATCTCAGTAGATCAGCAGTTATTGAAATATTCAAACCAGCCTGTCTGGCACCAACAACAATGCAATGTTCAAAGTCACTTAAATCTCCTTTCTTCCGCATTCTGATGCTTGGTTTGAAGTTTAGCAAGTTGTCTTCACCACATCTTAACGCTTAAATGCATTGAGTTGCTGCCACGTGATTGTCTGATTAGCAATTTGTGTTACCAAGCATTTGAACAGATGTACCTAATAAAGATTGATCCATCCACATAAGTCAATGCAGAGCACACATGACAGGAAGCAATTATAAATGGCAGATAGGAAGGCCGTTGCAGCAGCAAGAGAGAAGTTGGAGTAGCAGTGTGTGGCTAGAAAGAGCATATTGTTCATACGTGTACCGTGTCACACACTTACTGACACCATTCCAAGTAATTCACAAACGTTTTTGTCTCTCTAAGGCTCTTCCTCGATCCTTTCAATGTTAAGCCATGTAGTTGGCGTAATAGTAGACTAAAAGTTCTTGCATTCCCTGATGCCTCTGCTGTGTAAGAGGTGGCCCCGTATTCCAGGAGTAATGTTGTAGTGACTCTATATTCCTCATTGATCAGGTCTGAGGACACCGCTAGTTCCACGCATGATGACATCATAATGTTGCTGCCGAAATTCTCTAAGCAGTCATTGCCAGAACAGAAGTCCTCATTAGAAGATATCTGCCTTATTCTTCATCTAGTGACATCTCTGCCTGATAACTTTCTGCCATTTTGACAATGGTCACCAGTACAGAAGGTGGATCTCCGCCGTAGGGACCCAGATAGCAATAAAAACCAAACAGAGTTTCTGGCCCTTCCCTATTCTATCTAAAACTAAAAATCTCAGTCACTGTTCTTTTATCTTTCTTTGGGTTAAAAGAGATGATCTTTTTGCTTTGCAAATTTTCCATTTATTAAATGAGCACGAAATGTAAGTTTGGAAGGAATATAGAGGAATGCTGTTCAAGAAGGGTCATCACCCAAAAAAATGTACACTATATTGCCAAAAGTATTGGGACGCCTGCCTTTAAATGCACATGAACTATAATGGCATCCCAGTCTTAGTCCGTAAGGTTCAATATTGAGTTGGCCTATCCTTTGCAGCTGTAACAGCTTCAATTCTTCTGGGAAGGCTGTGCACAAGGTTTAGGAGTGTGTCTATGGGAAAGTTTGACCATTTTTCCAGAAGCGCCTTTGTGAAGTCAGGCACTGACGAGAAGGCCTGGCTCGCAGCCTCCACTCTAATTCATCCCAAAGGTGTTCTGTTGGGTTGAGGTCAGGAGTCAAGTTCCTCCACCCCAAAACTCGCTCATCCATGTTTTTATGGACCTTGCTTTGAGCACTGGTGCGCAGTCATGTTAAAACCGGAAGGGGCCATCCCCAAACTGTTCCCAAAAAGTTGGGAGCATGAAATTGTCCAAAATGTCTTGGTATGCTGTTGCCTTAAGAGTTCCCTCTTAAGGCAACAGCATACCAAGACATTTTGGACAATTTTACTGGAAGGCCAAGTCCAACCCCTGAAAAACAACCCCACACCATAATCCCCCCTCCACCAAACTTTACACTTGGCACAATGGAGTCAGGCAAGTACCGTTCTCCTGGCAACCACCAAACCCAGACATGTCCATCGGATTGCCAGATAGAGATGTGTGATTCATCACTCCAGAGAACATGCCTCCACTGTTCTAGAGTCCAGTGGTGGGTGCTTTACACCAGTCAGTTTCTCAGCCATGGAAACCCATTCCAATCTGAAGGCTACACGAAGTTTGGAGATCTTTAACTATTGACTCTGCAGACAGTTGGCGACTTCTGCACACTGCATGCGCTGACCCCGCTCTGTCATTTTACTAGGCCTACCACTTGGTGGCTGAGTTTCTGTTGTTCCCAGTTGCTTCCGCTTTGTTATAATACCGCTAACAGTTGACCGTGGAATATTTAGTAGCAAGGAAATTTCATGGATGGACTTATTCCACGGTACCACAATTGAATTCACTGAGCTCCTGAGAGGGACCCATTCTTTCACAAATGTTTGTAGAAGCAGTCTGCATGTCTAGGTGTTTGATTGTATACATCTGTGGCCATGGAGGTGATTAGAACACCTGAAGCCAATCATTTGGAGGGGTGTCCTAATACCTTTGGCAATATAGTGTATATACAGTTGCCACAGCAAACACATTGTAGTATTGTGAGATTGATTGCAAACAGTATATATGCTGCAGTGAATTTTACACCAGTTCAGTATTACTCTTAAACACGGCGGCGCTACAATGGAATTACCAGCCAGTCCGGAAGGCAACATACAAACTGTGTGCTTTTTTAGCAAAGTAGGGTTTACAGCTGGGACTATGTTTATATTATTTAAAAAGAGGGTCACTGTAGCATTTGTTAGTAACAGAATTATAAAAGTTAAATAATGTCCCTGACATACAAATGCAAGGAAGATATGCAAGGTGCATTGAGGTATACCATATGTATACTATTCATTTATGTGTGTTTTAACAGGTGAAAATAGAAAACCACTATGACTTCCAGGATATCGCCAGCGTTGTGGCCTTGACACAGACCTATGCCACCACCGAACCCTTCGTAGATTCCAAATATGATATCAGGATTCAGAAAATAGGAAATAACTACAAAGCATACATGTAAGTCAGCAAGGCAACTGGTCATTATACATTATCATTTTTTTAAAATTACAATCCACTAGATATTTTCCTGCTTTAGGTACAGTTAAATCTAATACACTTTGGTTTATAGAAAGACATACTGTGATTAACAATATAATTGTTGTGTGGATGGACATGCAGCTGTCTTCTTATTCAGTGATCACACTATACCCAATGGGGGGGAATTCACTAAGAGTTGTACAAACACAATGCTTGCATAACTCTTCTTAAATTAGAATATGGGTCATTTGCTGCTCATAATTAAAATAAAAGGGGCACAAGCACAAGCAGATCTTCACCCTCCCCCCACGTTTTTAACCCCTACTTACCAGGTTGCAAAAAAAGGCGATATTTGTGTAGCGAAGTGGAGGAGGGGTGGAAAGGAGGAAGGTTTGTTTTGAGGGTAAACATCTGATTTAATTAGGAGTGGTCAGTTCTTTGTCCTGTGGCTGTGACAGGGAAAGCAAACAGCAGGAAAAGCAAACCTGGAGCTCCATGCTCCAATCTGTTTGCCCAACCCCCAGCCCCCTGCTCTGCTCAGAGTGGAGGGAGGAGGACATTAAACCTGTGCAGTCTCTGCCCATGTAGTGTGATCACTATGCAGGCACAGAAAAGGATGTGAGCTGTCCGCTAAAAGCTCACATCCCATTCAACAAAGTCACACCTGGTGGGAATTTACGGCAGGTTCCTATTTGGAAAACTGCCATATTCCCTTTGTTAATCGGATGCAGACCTGCGCTAGTTCCTATTTCTCTGTTAACACAGGTGGTATAGATAGACCTGAAACAGGTCTATCTGCTATATTAATGTGCCACATATCACTTCCTGCACCATTATAATGGCACAAGACGCTTAGTTAATTCCTCAGAATGAATGTAATCCTCTTGGTAAGCCCTAGTCAGCCTTATATGGCATAGCAGAAGTAGAGTACAATAAATCATGATGTGTAGAGATTCGCACCGCACGGCATTGCAGTAATGCATACTACACAACACACTTTATAGTGCGCGTTACTGTGGTCAATTCGGTTGGAAAAGCCCCAATACAATAATAATTGCTCCCGTATTATACTTTTTTTCTGCCAATGGTACCACAACCAACATCATGCATCACGGTACACCACAACGCCCTGTAGCACAGGTGCTTTATGTATGTGCATTCAGGTTGCATTCTTTATGAATGGCAATGCGCATAAACCTTGCATTGCAGTGTTTCTGCATCATACCTCAGTGCACTAGATGAAAATGGACAATAATGGAGCTTTTACAACAGCTTTTTTTTTCTGATTATCTATCTATCTATCTATCTATCTATCTCTTTAAATTAATATATTTCTTTCTGTTGTGTTTTATCAGGAGAACCTCAATATCAGGTAACTGGAAGACAAACACTGGGTCTGCCATGCTAGAACAGGTGGCAATGTCAGACAGGTGCGTAATGACTAAAAGAATTTTGATTATTACTAATATTGATTATATTGTTCATGCTAAATATCATTAGAGTTAAAGTGCTACTAAACCCACAACACTAAAATCAGTTTGCATATTCAGTTAAGCATGCTAGTTATACTCACTTCGAAACCTAAGGGGTTAATTCTGCATTGTGTAAAAAAGTTGATCCTGTCTTCTATGTTCCTCCCCGTCTTTTACTGTCCCCAATCCATCTGCCATAGTACACAAAAGCAGTGGCAAGTCTGCACATGCTCTGTTTGGTGTGCATTGCTAGAGAGTTTTTTTTTTGGGAGGGCGCATGTAATAAGCACAGGGCCAATCAGTGCTGTCCAGACAGACATTCAGGGGTAATGCAGCCTGATAGGACAATCAGAGGAGAATGAAAACTCCTCCTACAAGATTAACCAGTGCTCAGCCTGGGCATAAGTCACAAGTCACAAGACTGCTATATACTGCTGATGAGAAAAAGGTATTTAGCAGTTTATATTTACTAAAATAACTGCATTTCTATGTTGTATGCTGCAGAAGACCGGATATAGTGATTTAGTGAATGCCAGTTCATGGGTTTAGTAACCCTTTAAGAATTATACTTTATTCCCCATAAAAAGAAAACAAACATGGGAGCAGGAATTGAAGATATGGACTACATAAGGATCTCAATTTTTTTTTTATAATACTATGCTCTTTTAAAGTGTGTGTTACAGTCTGGCTGACTTTAAACTGTTAGCACATTACTATGTAACATGAAAAGAAGCTCAATAAAAGTAATCCATCTCAGCCAAATAAACATTGGCAAGGTGGAGCTGCTGTTGGCTTCTTTTGACATATTTGGTGGTCATGTAAAGAAATTTAGCCATATTAGAACTCAATATTTTAACTGTTGAAAAGGTTTTAAGAGATCCTTGCCCAAGACCTCATTTGTGGGGTTTTTCGGACTCCATGGTGGTGCTTATTCTGAGGAGGGAAACACATGTAATTACTATAATTATGATGATATCAAAATTCCTAATAACACATAAGTAGAAAATGACAACATCACTAGATTTGTCAGAATGGCAAAACAGATATGTAAATTAAAAGGGAAGATCTGGTGCATCAAGGAAAAAGGTCTGAGAGAAAAATGCATTTTTGTAGCTGAAGTTACTAGATTCTACAGATCAATCCCCCATCTCTTCACTTCTATAGCAAGAGGTTGGTATTCTGTATTCCAGCAAGGAAGAACTCAGACAGGGCTTGTCAGTCCATAAAAAGAAGTAAGGAGCTCACTGGATTTCTGTCAGATCAGCAGGTATTTTTGGGTACTTGTGCAGTGTTTTTTTTCTGTATACATTGCATGTATCTGTTTTTTTAATTCTTATTTTCCCCAGTGTAGCAGAGTGTCTCAAAGGGAGCCTGGAAAAGTCCTGTTCAGGGTTTACACATGTCTCATACACTTTCAGAGACCTCTGACATGATGTCCAGTTCTGGTTTTGCAACTCTACCTTTTAGCAATTTAAGCACTTAAGCTCTGGAAGGCTTTACCACCTTCATTACCAGGCCGTTTTTTGCTATTTGGCACAGTGTTACTTTAACTGGTAATCGCGCACTCATGCAACACTGTACCCAAACTAAATTTATATCATAAACGAAAAAAAGTCTGAAAATGTTGAAAAAAAATACTTTTTGCTATACAATATGTTCAAAAACATTTTTTAAAAATCATATTTCTTAATAAATTTAGGCCAAAATGTATTCTGCTACGTCTTTGGTAACAAAATATCCCAATACGTGTATGTTAATTGGTATGATAGTTATAGCTTCTAGAAACAATGGTATGCATACTGGAATTTCAATTTATTTTTTGTTTTTATACTAGTAATGGTGGTGTTCAGTGACTTATATTGGGATTGTGCGGTGGGCAATCTAACACACCAGTGACACTAATAGTGATCAGTGCTAATATTATACACTGTCACTGTACTAATGGTTTGGAAGGAGTTAACATCTAGGGGCAATCAAAAAGGTTAACAGTGTGCCTAACAAGTGTAAAATGTGCTGTTTTACTAAGCAATGCTACTGTTTTTACTCCCTGGTATCTGGAAATGAAAATGTCCTTACCCCAGGGAGCTTTGTACCTGCTACCTATCCCCAACACCAAATACAGGTGAAACTCGAAAAATTAGAATATAGTGCAAAAGTTCATTTATTTCATTAATGCAACTTAAAAGGTAAAACTAACATATGAGATAGACTCATTACAAGACCAGGATGCTTCAATAGCGGCCTTCAGCTCTTCTGCATTGTTTGGTCTCATGTCTCTCATCTTTCTCTTGGCAATGCCCCATAGATTCTCTATGAAGTTCAGGTCAGGCGAGTTTGCTGGCCAATCAATCACAGTAATCCCACGGTCATTGAACCAGGTTTTGGTGCTTCTGGCAGTGTGGGCAAGTGCCAAGTCCTGCTGGAAAAGGAAGTCAGCATCCCCATAAAGCTTGTCTGTGGAAGGAAGCATGAAGTGCTCCAAAATCTCCTGGTAGACGGCTGCGTTGACTCTGGACTTAATGAAGCACAGTGGACCAACACCAGCAGATGACATGGCTCCCCAAATCAACACAGACTGTGGAAACTTCACACTAGACTTCAGGCATCTTGCAGTGTGTACCTCTCCATTCTTCCTCCATACGCTGGGTCCTTGGTTTCCAAATGAGATGCAAACGTTGCTCTCATCAGAAAAGAGGACTTTGGACCACTGAGCAACAGACCAGGTCTGTTTTTCTTTAGCTCAAGTAAGACGCTTCTGACGTTGTTTGTTGTTTAGGAGCGGCTTGACAAGAGAAATATGACATTTGAAGGCCATGTCCAGGATCTGTCTGTGTGTGGTGGCTCTTGAAGCACTGACTCCAGCCTCAGTCCACTCCTTGTGAAAGTCCCCAACACTTTTGAATGGCCTTTTCCTGACAATCCTCTCCAGGCTGTGGTCATCCCTGCTGCTTGTGCACCTTTCTCTTCCACACTTTTCCCTTCCACATAACTTTCTATTAATGTGCTTTGATGCAGCACTTTGGGAACATCCAACTTCTTTTGCAATTACCTTTTGAGGCTTTCTCTCCTTATGGAGGATGTCAATGATGGTTTTCTGCACAACTGTCAGGTCAGCAGTCTTTCAAATAATTATGATTCCTACTGAACCAGACTGAGAGACCATTTAAAGGCTGAGGAACCCTTTGCAGGTGTTATGGCTTAATTAGCCAATTAGAGTGGGACACTTTGAGCCTAGAATATTGCACCTTTTCACAATATTCTAATTTTCTGAGATTGTGAATTTGGGGTTTTCATGAGCTGTAAGCCATAATCATCTTAATTATGACAAATCACGGCATGAACTATCTTGCTTTGCATGTAATGAGTCTATCTCATATTAGTTTCACCTTTTAAGTTGCATTACTGAAATAAATGAACTTTTGCATGATATTCTAATTTTTTGAGTTTCACCTGTATATACTTTAAAGGGGTTACAAAGTAATTTTTTTTTTTACCTTAATGCATTCCCTGCATTAAAGTAAAAAACACCCCACTAACTGCCCCTCCCCCCAAACCTCTAATCGCTAAACACCTACCTGCACCCTCTCAGATCCACTGCTGTCGCAACTGCAGCGCTGCTATCCTCTCTTCTTGGTCTCACAGGAGACACTAAGGGCAGCTGGATCCATAGGCTGCTGTTGTCAATCTCCTTTGAGGAGGGAGCGGGGGGGCGTGGTTTACCAACACTGTGTTTGTCAATGCACACAGACCGGCTTAAGAATGCACTTTCACAGATGCCCCCATAGCACATGCCTGATAAGGGGGCACCCAGAACAGGGGCTAGCAGACAGTGCCGTTGGGGGACTTCTAGAAGAGGAGTAAAGGGACCACTCTGTGCAATATCAGATCCGGTAAGCCTTTAATATCACTTTAAAGTCACCTGTACTGATGGTCAACCTCATAACACAAATGAATTTGAGACTTTGTTGGGTGGCTGGATGTGCTCATCTTCCCAAACCTGCCAGGAGCTCTGAACCCCAGGATGCTCAAGTAACTTCTGCATGGAGATTTGAGAGCTAGCCTGCCCTTCCCCACAGTGTCTTATTGGCCAATCATCATATCACCCATCGTAACCCAGTAAGGGCCCACAGGTAGAAGTGGTGGAACCTCTCTCACTTTTTTTTTTGCAGAATATGAGACTTCAAATTCTGAAAACTTTTTAGGATGGGGGCTTTTTTACTACTGATGGCACGTTGTCAAATTGACTGCAAATACTCTATTTTAAACTCCACAGACAGTAAAAATCTTCCCTTGCAGTGGAGCACTGCAAGGGGTAAATGCTCATTAAGGTCTGGGGGCAGGAAAATCAGTTGTACTTACCTGGTCTCTGCTCCCCCAGGAGGCGGAGCTCCCCTGCAGTCCAGCAGTGAAATGTTCCTTGGCATCCTCACTTCTAATGCAGGGCTATGGTCTTGCAGCAGTCTTGATGATGTTAGAGGACCTGCAGCCACTGGAATGTAGGGGAGAAGAAGCTATGGGGTTTAGTCTTCCAACATGAAGGAAGCCTGTGGGAGCAGAGGATTGGGTAAGTGAGTTTTTTATGGTCCCTTAGGCCTTAGTGAGCATTTAACCCTTGCAGGGGGGACCCACCACAAGGGAGAATTTCTACTTACTCCAGGGTTCAGCTTTAAGGGCATTTGGATTTTAATTGTGAGATGTACCAGTATCTGACCTGACCTGCTAATTCCTGATGTTTTTTTTTTTTTTTTGGTGCTCCTACTAATATATTTTTATTTTCTTCTAGGTACAAGCTATGGGTTGACACATGTGCAGAAATCTTTGGAGGTCTGGATATTTGTGCTGTAAAGGTGGTACATGGGAAGGATGGAAAGGATTATATTATAGAGGTAAGAAAACATATTAGAGCTGTATGTATTATTTAGATGGGAGAAAGCAGGGCTGTATCCATAATGGCACTTGTGGGCCAGTGTCTAGGTCAGGAGGGAGGAAATGGCAGTGGCAAGTCTCAAAATGCTGCTATTGCTCTGAGGAAGGGAGTTCAACTCCCGAAATGTGTTAGCACTTTATCCGAGGACGCATGCTGTCCACGATTGGCACCTTTGACTTCTTGTCTCTGTTTTTATGACCTTTATGGCTTGTGAGTATGTTTTTGTATATTTGTAATACATTTTAGTTTTTTGCGTTATTGCATGAGGAGAGTGCGCCCAGTTTTGTTTTTCTGCTAGTATCAAGATTCCCCAATCTATCAAGGGCAGCACCTCAGCAAGTGCACAATTCAATTTGAGTGCAGCAAGAGAGATTTGAGTGCTGGTTTCTGGTTACTGTCAAAATGCTGGTATATTGGGAGTTGTCAGAGTTTAAAAAAGGAGGCTCTTTATAGTTCAGAAAGAGCATATACTGTATACAGACCTGATATTGCATCCAAGATTACATTCTAGCAGCATTGCACCTTGCACAATGCCATTCCACCCACAGCACTGCATTGCCCTGTATTGCTGTATCAATCAAGAGATACAAAAATGAGTTTGCTAAGTCTCTGATGGTTCCCTCTAGAGGCTAGTCTAGATTTATTTATGGCCATAGCTCTGAGGAAGGAGATAGAGGCCCCGAAACGCATCACCTGCTTCATGTCATCCTGTCTCCAGGCGGACTCTTCAGCATGCTTTATGCACATACATGCTTTGAGCTCACTAGTTTTATGAGTATATTGTATGCTGTTTTTAAATTTTGAAATAAATGTAATGGATAATGTGCTAGGCGTTTGCTCCCTCTTTTGTTTGTTTTTATGTATTCCACTTGTTATTATGTCTGTCATCAAGGCAATGAACCAGGTTGTAACTGGTGTAACAAAATGTAATCGGGTTTGTACCATACCATCTATGATGTAATGTCAACTTTAGTTCACATTAGTAGATGTATTTGCGACTCGTCTTAAAAATTCTCACACATTATGTCAAATTTACCACTAAAACCTTGAAAAATGCATACTCAGGATACAGCATAGCTACCGATGGCTTTTGTTTTTATCTGGGCATATCTGAAGATTACCAGGCCATCCTGTTTTTTTAACCACCTTCCGCCCGTCCTATAGTACATTGACAGGCGCAAGGTGGTTCTCTCGTTCTGATACGACGTCACATGACGTCCTACCATTCTCACTGCGCATGCATGGCTCAGGGAGCGCGCAGCGCGGCGATCGCTGGTCCGCTGTGTCCGAGGGAAAGAGCCGAAGATGTCAGCTCGGTCATATGATCAGCTGTGTCCAATCACAGCTGATCACATGTAAACACGAAAATGCCGGTTATCGGCATTTCTCTCCTCTCGAGCTAGAGCCCTCGGTGAGTCAAAGCCCCGTATATAGGTTGGGAGGAGTCTTAATGCGGCCGGGGCATGGGAGCCAACCACCCCACATCTACACAGATATAGCCAGTAGATGGAGACCCTGGACAGGGTTGAAGAGAGACAGACCTGCACCCAGGAGAGCTGGCTATAGACTTAATGACCCTTATGGAGATGGGGGCTAGGGCGGGTTGCAAAAGGCCTTTTAGGCCAGGCCAAGAGTTCCCTGAGAGAGGCTATTTCCCCGGGGGATCCTGGGAGAGGTGTACCTATAGAGGAGCTGATTGCAGAGATCCTATCACACTGAATACTAACGACCTTGGGTGGAGAGAGACTGTTGATGATGGCTTACTGTAATGGCTGCACAATGCTTTCACATGTGACTACTGCAGACCGTGCATTAAATGCGATCAGTGTGATATGACTGTGCTGTTTCCCAAGTACCACCAGTAAATTGCAGCACCTCTATCTATATGTGGACATTCCTTCCTTTGGAGATATAAGGCCTTGTGCACACTGGTTTATTGTAAAGGGCTGTTTCTTCTAACAGGAGAAAATCAGCATTAAAAACTCACCTAAGCTGTGTTTTTTTCAAACCAGTTTAGCAGTGCTTGGTGTTTGGGCATTTATTTATTTAATTGGCCAGAATTTTTATTTATTCTGCCTATTGAAATAAATAAATGTTGAAGTGCTCAACATGCCTAGCATTTAGGCACATTTAGCAGCGTTTAGCAGCGTTTAGCAGCATTAAGCGTTTTTTTCTACCAAAACTTTGCTGCTCCTGGATGCAGAGGCAGTGCCCCCAAACTCTATTGCCACTAAACACTGCTAAAAGCCTATGTGCGCATGGACACATAGACCAACATGCAAGAGAGTTTAGAGGCAGGGAAAAAAAATGCCAGAGTCTCTAAGAAGCAGCTTTAAAAACTTCCAGTGTGCATGAGGTCTAAATGTTAACAGACGGGAATGTTTGGAGGAGGTTCTCTGGCATGGAGTGGGGCACAAGATGGCGGAGGTTTACAGCCTCAGCAGGAGGGTCACTGTTCTAAAAGAAGAGTGGGGCAGGGACTTGTGCTTGTACTTTGCAAGCCCCTCTTACATACACAAGCAAGCAGGCCAAGTATTTCCAGTCCAATGCACTATTCTCACAGTTTTTTTTACATAACTGAAGAGATAGAATTGCAGGAGGCTGTTGTCCTGTCTTCAAGCACAAAACAATATGCTGAAATCTAGCCGCAGTGGAATATATAAAATAATTCTGCATTGATTGCCCATTCTGACTTTTGCACAGTTGCAGTGTTTCCTGGATATCCTAGCAGATTTCAGTTGTTAACGCAACAGTCTCTCGGCGTCTGTGATAAATCCTCAAAATGATATACGTTCTCCCAAAATATAATCCACTTCATGGAAACATTTCTTTTAATCCGTGTAAACCTCAAAAAAAAAAAACTCAGTATAGTGCATTATCCCACATAAATACAAAAATATCATATATTCACCCTGTGTTATTAACTTGTCACCCCACTTAGTGTCCACATCTAAATGGCTGTTATAAACACCCTTACCCTATCAAAACTTGTATATAGCTTCCAATCTCCTATTAATTCAAAACCGTGAATTAATAGGAGATTGGAGCTATATACAAGTTTTGGTAGGGTAAGGGCGTTTATAACAGCCATTTAGACGTGGACACTAAGTGGGGTGACATGTTAGTAACAGAGGGTGATTATATGATATTTTTGTATTTATGTGGGATAATGCACTATATTGACTTTTTTTTTTTTGAGGTTTACACGGATTAAAAGAAATGTTCCCATGAAGGTGGAATATATTTTGGGAGAACGTATATCATTTTGAGGATTTATCACAGACGCCGAGAGACTGTTGTGTTGACATTTTGAACTTTCGGGGGGAGAAAATGGAACTTTTTGCATCTAGGGGATATAGCATTATTTAGAGTGATTGGTTATTTTGGATTAACCGCAGTTTTTGGAGATTTCAGTTGCTGCCTTCCTTTTTCATTTCTTAAATGACTAATAGCAGAATTTGAACTTAACTTATATTCATAAAATGCAACTATTTTGTTTGAGATAGAGTTGTCCTTTAAAAAGGACAACACCATACAATATTTCAGCCTGGCTTGATGGACTCAAGGATTAGCAGAGCGATGGGCAGAAAAGAGGATGGTTGCCAGGCAGTGTCTGGAAGCATTTCAAGCATGCCGAATGGTAAAATAGCAGAAGCAAATTTTGGTGAAACATTGAAGCCTGATGCACACCGGGCATAAAAAATGCTGCTTATATAGACGTTTGGCGCTTTTTTTTATCTCAGCCTGTAGATGCAACTCTGTTAGCCTATGTGGACATATGCATTTGGGCATTTTCAGGCATATTTCAAGAGGAGCATTTACAAGGTAAAAACAAAACAAAAAACAGACGTGCATTAACACAGTATTTAGGTGCATGTGTGAATCGATTGTAATAAAAAAATAGGCAGAATGGAATGTTTTTGAAAAAAAAAGCTTATAAACGCAAACACACATAAAGTGAGAAATTATTAGCCTTTTTAAGCCTCTTTTTTCTGCCAGAGGTTCCCACTTTTTTTCAAGCGTCTAGTGTGCATAGACCCTGAAATTCTATTGGAGTGCAGAGCAGTGAGTGCAGGCGCCTTTTTTAGGCTAATGCTGACATTGCTTTTTTTGCTTCACTCATCTCTAAGGCCTCATGCACATGGACATCATCATTTAATGATGTTTATATTCAGGATCTAATTTACAGAATGATCCTGAGTAAAACACTGTGTGCAAAGACCTTGAGTAAAGATAAGTATGAGTACAGATGAGTAAACTCCTCTCTAGCTCCCATAGTGTTCTGCTTTTTACAAGTCCGTGTACTTCCGCTGGTCCATAGGGGTGAATGGACCATCTAGTCAGGTCCACCTGAAAAAAACGACTGGTGGTCCAGTTCGAACCCACTGTGTGAAATGGGCCTTCTGCATTAAAAATCTTGCCTGTTTGCTATTTTTTTTCAAGACCCCTTTCACGTGGGGTGGACTCTGTTATGAACAGCAGGGGATCTGTCCGCTGATCCCTTGCTGATCAGAGCAAAATGGGCAGACGACAAGTCTGTGTCCACTCAGTTCCACTGTCTGCTTACACCTAACTGCCCTCCGATCTGATCCTCCTAGATAGAGGGGGACAGATCCCCTTAGTTTTTTTTTAAGGGCGGACTGGTTTGGATTGGATGTAGGTGGGTGTAAATGGACACAAGTCTGTTTACACCCACTGGTCCATAGGGCTGAATGGAGGGTCCAATCAGGTCTGCCTTAAAAACCAACAGGAGGGCCTGATTGGATCGCCTGTGTGAAAGGTGCCTAAAGTTCAACTTTAATTATTGTTTTTTAAATGTTTTTGTTTATATATTTTTTTTTATTTGGGAGGTATGGGGCTTGGTGAAATATGACTGAACAATGAATGTATGTGAAGTGCTCTGTACAGATCGGCTTGCCATTCATTCACAAAACGGATGCATGGTAAGCACAGTTTACT